TAAAAAATACAATAATGAAATCACTCACCAAATCAATCAACAACGCCCTAAACGAATCCTCATGTTCCTGATATTTGTGTTTCTCGTGTTCTTTGCTTCTTTCCTTCAACTGCTCGCCCAGTTCTGCCTCCACTTCTTTTTTTCTCTCCTGCAGTGCCGCTTCCGCAGCCGCATCGCGCTTCTGCCGGTCATTTTCTTCGTCCATATCCTAGTAAACAATAACAATAATAACATTCAAGTTAATGGTTTAAAAATAACCAAAGCTGGTTCAAAAATAACCAAAGCAGGTTCAAAAAAAACCAAAACCACTCACCGAATTGGTTTCCTCAGGTAATTGGTCTTGATATTCGCGGAATAGTGCTTCACGATTCGACGATCCATCCACAGCTTTATATCTATCGTCATCCTCCAGTGTCTTCTTAACCGATGACCATTTGGTACGACGCGTTATATTGGTGCACTTCTCTGATAACATCGCGTGAAACTCCTTCTTTATCTATAATATTAATATACATAACAATAATATCTATATATACATATACAATAATAATAACAATATATAATAAAATAATAATAATAAACAATAATAATATATAATAATAATATACAAACCTTTTCCTTTTTCTCTCGTCGTTCCTCTTTTTCTTTTTTGTACAATTCTTGCACGTATTCGTTGAATATATCTTCCTTTTCTCTCATCTTCTCGACTCCTTTGAATCTCGAATCCTTGCCCCATTTTGAGGCAAATGATGAAAATGACGACCTATAACAACAATTAAATAAACAATAAATATAATAACAATATACACAAAAAAATAATAATAATATAAACAATATAAATAATAAACACAATAAAAAACAATAATATCAAACCCTCACCTCCCATGCAACTTTGCTTCCTCCAATAAATTCTTGAAATTCTCTCTCGCCTCTTTCGTCTTTCTCTTCTTCTCTGCTCTCTCTATCTCCGTACGCTCGCGTACGTACGCCTCAAACGCCTGCAACACCC